TCAATCTGCATGCACAGCCTGTGGACCCAATTATTGCTGAGAAAAGCTGAAGTGCATGAAATGTCCTTTCAGAATGTCAAAACAACAACAAAAAATTTGGCAGTCAAAGCTGCCAAAACATAGCTCCTTTTAGAACTGAGGCGCGTTCATGAAACTACTAAAATTGACAGCAAACTCAATACTATTAATGTTCAGGGTCACATAGCTCGGCGTCACATGCGTTTTCCTCAGGCCCCTGAGATAGTGTAAGCAGGAACTCTATCCTGATGCAGAGTCTTGTTTAAATATCTCACACATGGAGAGAAAACTGAAGCCCTGCTGTGAATCTGCACGACTGGCTCCAACTGGATCAAGTACTTGGGCAGAAGTTTTAAGCTGCCCTTTAACACGGATTCAAGACCATCTCTCATCTCTTCAGCTCCTAACCTCAACAGTTAGAAGAGCAAACAAAAAACTGAACTTAAACCTAAAAAGCAACATCAGCACACTCAAATGAAAGGTGGTCTTCTCAACAGAGAGCATGTGGAGTACCTGGTCAGAGTCGAGTCAGCATTGGGCAATTAGCAAGGGCTCCAGCGCCTCGGGTCGATTTCAGACCAGGCTCAAGCCCTACTCGTCTGACATCCTTAAAGGTCTGCCCTTTTAAGCTTGCATCACGTTGCAGCGTTGGTCAATACAAACTCAATGGGAATACTTTTTCTAGCTCTAGATCTCTGCTTTAATCACCTCTTGTTTGCCCTTGCCTCCATGGATTCATGCAAAACACATCAATGACACATTAATATACATCAGGCTACACTGCACATCGATTGGGGTTTAATTGGGGAACTAAATGAAGATTTTATTGCCTCTTTTCATCTTTCATAGGAGCACTCATTCATTTTTTTCTCTGCGGATATCATTCATTATAGAGTGGAGGGCGGAGACATTTGAGAAAAGGAGCTGGCTGCTGTGATGCACCTGTAAGCAAGTACAATAGTTACCTTGAGCATGCATAAACTCTTCATTAACCCTGTCACAGCAGAGCATGTCAGAGAAATGTAAGAAAAAGAAACACATCAATAACCAGTCAAGTGCACACTTAAATGAAGCCACTTGACAGCGGTTCTATAATTAAACAAAAAACTATTCTTCTGAACAGACTTTACTTATTTGCAGTTTGTCGGACTGTGAATAAGTATAACAGTGTTCATTCTGCAGTAGGGAAGGGCACAGGTAACAACGTAGTGGACTAGTAAAATACTACTCGAAATCTGCAAACAGATTTTGTGTTGTCTATGACCAAGCAGAAAGAAAAAGTAAAAATCCCAAAACGTGTCTCACCTGAATCGCTAAGATACAAATGGTAGCATTGCTGGGCCTTTTTCCTACTGCCAGAGAGTTTTGTAGGTTGCACTGCTTAACGAAGCGAAGAGGTTTTATTGGAAGGGACCATTTGATTGACATGCAAAAATCACAGACAGTTATTTATATGTGATTTTTTTTTTTCATTGTAGTTCATTGTGTTGACAAAAACTACAGAGCAAGAAAGGGAAACATACTCAAAAGAAAGTACAGAAAAGCAAAAATGAAAGCCATAACACACACACTTAAAGGCAATGCAAAAACAGATTAATGGAGCATGGTTTCATTAAAAGGAACATGAACATGGATGTACACACGCTTTTTATTCTACTTATGTCACAAATAAACAAATTAAAAGAGGGTCTGCACTTTTTTCATTTACATATGATACATTTACAAAAAATAATATCATGGAATTCAAAAGGAGGCATCATATTACTTATTAAACACAACCATCCATCTTAATGTTTCATGCTGTGCAGGAGCTGGTAGTTGTCAAAACGATGCTACAACAAAAACAGCCACACATGAAACAAAGCGGTTTGTAGCTAGATTTCTGTAAGAAACTCTGTTTACAATGTGTTCTTGCTGGGAAACAAGATTTGGTTTTGAATTGGTTTTGAAAGACAGGATGCTGTGAAAACTTCAGCATTTTGCTACTAAAAGCTCATTGTTGAGCTCACTGGTGTTACGGTGTTTAGAGCAGGCAAATGATTGCTACTAGTGTCTCACTAACATTTAGTTAGACTAACATTTAATTTGTCAAACCTGGGGTAATATTTCAATCTGGGTTACTGTATATGAAGCGCTTGACTTCTAAACTGCCATATAACAAACAAAAAGAAGCACAGTAATGTTTGTGTTATAATATTTATAGGAATAAATCTCAATCTAAACTTCATGCACAAGTCAAAACCATGCAACACTTTCTGGGTAACGGATTTTTCTCATTTTGTTTACGTTTGCATACTCAACCACAAAATTACTTGAGATCACTAATTTGCAGTGCAGCTGTTTTCATGGTGGTGGTGTTTACAAGTTGAATCATCAAAAAATGATGTTGTAACTTTTGTTTTCAATGGTCAGCTAAAATCCTAATGACCAACCTCACAACGCAAGTGCAACACTGAGGGGAACCCAAACCATGTTAATATAAGGCCACTGTCTGATGAAAGGCTCAGTGCTTCAATCTGAAATTTGATCTCTCCACTAATGGATAATTCAACCTCCGATATAAGCACAGAGAAATGGAGAATTCATATCTATGTGAAGTGGCCTAGTCTCATAGCATTGGTACTGATCCTTGAAATGGGTAGTGTTTTACACTCCACTGTTTTGATGAATAAAATAATGGGAAAGTATAGACGTTTGAGATAATACAAGGAGATTTCAAACAGTACAAAGATAGTTTCAGTAACTTCTACAAATTAGCATGAACCCTGAACAGGTGTCGGTCACAATATGACTCTGTGGGCACTAGCTTATACCTAATTTAGGCAGGGAAGTAGAAACACCTCCATCCTGCAAGAAATATCAGAAAAAAATCAGTGTCTTCTTCTGAACAAATGAAAATGACATTCCACAGAAATAACAGCAAACATCTCCTCCAATATCTGCTTTTGCAGAACACAGCAAACTTTGTGTTTCTGAATCAAAGGACTTGGCAAACAGCTCTGTTGTTAAGGGAAATACCTGAGAGGTGGATATGTGGTAGCACAAAACGGGCAGATCTTGTGCTGTCAGAAAAGCAGTTTTGGATATCACTGTCCCATTGTGTGGGTCAGAACCAATCAGAGTCCATTCCATTCAATTCCACTGGAGCCAAACTGGAGGACTCCCAAGCAGGAGTGAAACTGGTATCCAAGATGGCCGGAATCAAGACTAGCCTTATATAGTCCCAGCTTACCTTCAGCTCAGTCAGCAACGTGCTGTAAACATGTCATAAACAATGCATGATGTGGCTGAACTGCGTACAAATGCTTCTTTATCAAATTTACAACACATGCACACATGCTGTGCTGAGGGATCTTACACTGAATTATGATTAGGCCTATTCTCACATCTTTGAACCATCGTATATTAAAATGTGTCTCATTTGATTGATTGAACAATGACAGATGAATCACCTGTTTGCATACATCACCAAAGTACAGACTAAAACATGTGCCTTGGACAACTTCTGTGTGCAAAGTCCAGCAGAGTAGCAAAGCTCAGGGCCTCTTTGCTATTACAGCATTTGGCCATGGTGGTGGACAGTTTCCATGTTACTACAGTACATTATAGAGTGGCTTCATGGTCTCCTTTGGTGACTCTAACTGTGACATGACTCTTTATATAGCCACTAAAATGATCTCAGGATTAGGCGGCTGTGGCGCGCAAACGACCTTGAACAGAGGCAGAGCAAAGACATTCTGACACATTGCTGTCATCAGGCCTGTGCTTTGTGCTAAAGGTTTAAAGAGAAAAATGGCAAAAAATCAGCCTGGATTGTGTAGTTTAACAACAGCGTGTACCTAGGGGTGGGAGATATAACGATACTTATCATTATTGTGATCAATTACAACACAATATACTTACAGTAGACTGACCAGCTGCATGTTTCATTACAAACGAAGAGTCCTGTTTAACTGGATTTAGTGCAGTCCAAATCATGTAGTCATACTTTAGCTGTGGCTGATGGTTCTTTTTCCAGCTTATCAAACCTGAGAAACACTAGACATCATGATGCCTATCATGCGACATGTCATGATACTATGTTTTTGCGGTATCGCTCAGCCTTATGTTGATGCAAATAGTAAGAATCTTAACAAAAGTGTAAACTGCCACCATCAGCACCTGAGTGACAGAGCATAATGCAGCTCTGGTTTAAAGGTGTGTTTGAAGTTTGAGAGACACGTGGGACGTGGCTTATCACTACCTGGCAGGAAACAGCCATCTGTTGCTCCATCAGTGCAGCTCAACCAGAGAAAAATCCCTGACTGGGGAAACAAAACGGCACGCAACAGGGGGGTAGAAGCAGAGTTGGTGTATGCAAGCCCTTTAAAAGAAGAAGAAGAAGAAGAAGCTGAAGAAGAAGAAGAAGACACCCTGAGCTCCTGACAGTTTGGAGCCACGTCATATTGAAGCCCCGCTCCTGACAGCGTGAAGAGCATTACCGTTTTGTCTCATTGACCCTCCAGTCAGACTGTAATGAGGAACGAATGAAGTCGTCGCTGGTTCCTCTTGTCACTAAACTGCAGCCATGACTGACTGAGCCCCCCTCCTCACACTCACACTCAGAGTAAACACTACGGAGCCGACGTCACCTACGTGCCCACCACACCAAACAGCTTCACGCAACTCTCTCACACACTTTTGGAAACGCCGGACCTTTAAATCGGCTCCACGACGAGCAAACGGACAGAGAGAGCGAGGCGCTCTCAAAACAACAACAACCAGCGTCCTGAGTTTAAACCACCGTTAGTGCTACATCAGTGTTCGTCAGCGCTACGAGGTTAGCTAGCTAGGACCGAGACCACCGAGACCACTCAAAACTGCATCAAAGCGCTTTAAGACTTTCAGAAACCCCACTTTTACGTCTTTGCAGCAACCGTGACTGAAAGGCCATTGCTGCAAAACACTGCGTGGCCTCAGCAGGACTTAGCATGTGGACTCACCGACCGAGCTGGAGCCCGTCCCCGAACCGAGCAGGAGGTACCAGACCCACATCCTTCACGCTTTTTTCCGGCCTGCCCCTCAGCTTCCCCGCGCTGTGGGCCAACAACCGGGGTGACTTTAAAGTTCCTCGACTTCCACTAAATGTCTCGGCTATGCACGGGTTCTCTCTCTCTTTTTTTCTTTCCCCCTGCAGGGCAAAGTTTTCTGACTTGCAGGGAGGTTGGGCTCTTCCACTGGGACAGACAGTCGTGTGTGGAGTAGGGTTTTTTCCACCCGTATTCTGACAAGCCCCGCCTCCGTCGCCAGGATTGGCTGGTAGTTCGTGTGCATGAAGTAGCCAATCAAGGCGCTGCTTATGATAATAAACTACTGACCAATCCTAAAGCCGTAAGAGGGAAACTACTAGCCAATCCTGTCGCAGGATAAAGAAACTTCTAGCCAATCTTAGAGCAAGATGGGGACATTACCTTCCAGTCGTAGCGCAGGAGGAGGACTTTGTCGGAATACGGGTGTGGAAAAAATAAAATGCCATGAGCTTGAGTGGGTATCATGTTCACAGAGAGAGAGAGAGAGAGAGAGAGAGAGAGGGGCGGAGACTAGTGCCGGGAAAATAAGAATGGGACCCCACATCTACACACTCCAGACTGATCACAGCAGTCGAGAAAATATGATTCAGCTTTATAAAGATCTGTGTTTAGGCTTTAAAGTTTCATACTCTGCACAATGCGTGGTCACAAGCTACAGGTTGTCGGAAAAAGTTTGCACACCTTTCTCAGTTAGCAGCAATATTTCTGCATGAATAGCCTCCTAAAATGTGACCTAGGCCCATATTAAAGGGGAACTCCACCGATTTTTAAAAATTTACATACTACAGACACATTCAGAGTGGTTTGGTGTGAAATGCTTCGTTCTAGAGAAACTAACCAAGTCAGAATTGTTCACAGTGGTGGTGATAGGAACCAGACAAATGAAGTGTTTAAAACCTCTAAAAACCTCCCCCACAGAAAGCTATTAAAATTAAAATGGTTACGAATACTCAGCCTGATGTCTGAGACTTTTTTTATGGTAGTTTTGTGATTAAATTTTGGCCTAAAATGTATTTTAATCCATTTGTGGCAGAGGAATACATAAAGGGTGTTGTAAGGCAAAATAGTTCCCAAAGAAAACTTATTTGGCCATCATCAACATTACGTATAAAACTCAGAAGACATGTGTAGGTTCACTGGTGGTTTTGGATAGTAAATAAAGTGGCTATATATGTGCTGTAGACAATGTGACTCCTGGTTCCTATCAACACCACTGTACAGAAATCAGAGTCAGCAAGTTTCTCTACAATCCATTTCACATCAGACCTCTCTGAATGACTTATTATCTCTGAATGATCTCTTATTATAATTCTGTCTTATTATACCACTGAATCATGCAGAGATTTTGAAAACTTGGTGGAATTCTTCTTTAGTAAACCTCTGAGTACAAGTGCTCATCTAGGATGAGATTAATAAATAAAGACTAACCGCACAGATGTCATATTACAGTGCCATGTCTTTATAAATATAAATGCTTTCAAGACTAGTATAGATGTATGTGACTGCACAATGTTAACACGCATAGCATTTATGTCATTTACATGAAAACAAATACTTTAACCAGGGGCGCAATTAGGATCTTATGGACCCCAGGGCAAAAAAGGGCCCCCCATACAGTTACCTTCAATGAATAAAAAACCCAATGTGATTTGATTGTTTACTTGCTATTGTTATGTCTCAAACAAGTTGATGCTTTCAAACCATGCCACTCGACCCGCTAGCATCTAATGTTATTCTATATTATACTATACTATGCACTATGTTTACATCAGACAATCTATTGACAGTTTAGTCATAAGTAATACATAATGTTACAGGTTGTGAGGGATCCATTTGAAATTTGTTTACAATTAAGAGGGGGATAAATACACTTCAGGGCTTTCTGGCCAACTGGTGAGGTATGTTGTTAAGAAAGTGGATCTTTCTGGGAGTCATGGGTGTACAACTGTTTCTGAGGGGCCCAGTAAAGATTTTAAGGGGCTTGATTGCTATGATCCCCCCTGCAACATGGACCCCAGTGCAACTGCCCCTCCTGCATCCCCAGCAGCTATGCCACTGGCTTTAACTGCTTTGTAAGAACACATAATCACCTCATTACCTTATGTGTCACTAACAAAACTCATCTGCATTACAAAAAATGATATCTTAACAAGTGAAAACATCTTTAACGTAGTCAAAATATCTAATATATCTCATTATGAGATTGTTATAAGAATATGGTATGATTATTTGGTTTATTTGTGGACTGTTTTATTTGTTTTTAAGTAATTTTATCTCATGAAAATGTCTGATTCCATTGGCAAAACATTTTACTTGTTTTAAGCATTATTTCTTGAAATATGCAAAATTATCTTCTCAAAACAAGTAAAATGATCTGCCAATGGAATAAGACACTTTTACTGAATACAGTTACAAGTAAAGAATATATAGAAACAGGCTGAATAATCTGAATAATATTATTACAACAATCTCATAATGAGAAATATTAGATGTATTAACTAATTAAGATGTATTCAGTTGCTAAGATGTCTTTTTTTTCCAGTGTATTGACTGTGTTTCCTTACTATAAGTGTTCCTTTTACTGTTTATATGGCATTGACAACTGGCATGGACTCTAGGGCAAATACAACGTACCTAGAAAAGCAATAAGTTCAGTGCTATATGCCAACAGTGAATCAATGAATAATATATGACAGCAGTGAGCCTGTTACGTGTTTGACGAGCAGTGAGGACTCACACCTGACCCTCAACTTGGGAAATGCAGTTTTTTGGCAGTGCTGCATCAACATTGTTGTCATGCAGCAGTCCATGTGATGAGAGAGACACTCTTAAATATGTGCTGCTCTAGCTCTTGACTAATGAAACACCATGCTGTTCTAGTTTTTGGCCATGTCATACGGTTGTGCATTAGTGTAGCGTGAATGTGTCACACTGTGTGACACTCAAACCAAACCAAATTCTCTAGTCATGCTTGAAATAAAGGGAATATTATTTTATCTTGCAAAAACTTTTTTGTTTTTATCTCCTAATGCAGCTGTGTGACCTCAGACAGCCTTGAATCATATAAAAGCTTCCTTTTGATAATGCAACATACCCACAGGCATACAATCAAGAGCAGTCACAGACACCTCCGTCTTCCTGAAGGAATTCAGCATCAGCAGGCTTATCAAGCCATGACCTGATGCCATAAATCTCCTCCACTCAAAAATCTACCTTTTTTTCCTGCTTGCTCGTTGAATCAGAATAAGCCTTCACATTTAAAGAGGGCTCTTAAAAGTGTCGCAGTGGGGTTGCAGGGTCCTGCATACAAGCAATAATAAATAAATAAATAAATGCACTTTGCTTTTGAATGGTTTCTTTGAATTCTTTGGCGGGTGAAGGACTGTTGGTACACCAACATGGCAGTGATAAGAATAATATTTAATGAGTGTCGCATTAACTCATTCACAATTGACTCTCATTTTGTGGCTGCAAAGGTGCAGTTCAAGTTCCTTCAGTGTGCTCCAAAAGAATGAGCTTATACACCAAAGGCCTGCAGGTTTTCTTGTCAGTGCCACACAGCACACTTCACTAAGGTACTCCAAGTTTTAATTAAACAAGATATTGAATAAAACTGAACCTTGGAGACCTTTGGACACATTTAACAATATGTCTTGTTATTTCTGTTTTCAGTGTGAATCAGAAATCCAATGTTCTCAATATATTATGAACATAGGCTAGGCCACATAATAATTAATTACAGTAATAACTACTCATAATGCGTGTAATGACTCATGAAGTCTTATTTTGACAGAGATAAATGGACTCAATCAAAAACTGAAGTTTTGGAAAAAGAACACTTCTAAAAATCCTCATCCTAACTAATATGTTCCTGCTTTTGCCAAATGTACTCAGTGACAGATTTTCATCCATGAAAAATAAATAAAAAATAAATGGCACTAGGGTTTAATCCTTAAAATCCCAGGTTTATTACATACTACAGATGATTGTTCAGTAAGTACAGTAAAGTTTGGGCCTGCTGATGGGGGCTATTAAGGGTTAATTAAATAAGTATAAGATGGACTGATGGACTCCAGTGGGTTATGAACTGAAAGTTTGGCCTGCATTAACAATGACCGAATCTAAAAACCTATAAATTTCATTTAAAGTGCTGTTTTCATTTGGAACAATTTTAGAAATTTGGATCTTTAAAAAAAATATTAACAGTTGATGTGTCATGGAAAAAACATTGTCATTTCTCTAATAAAAGTGGTTTTATTCATAATACAGCATTGACATTTCTTATATGCGTAAAGGCCTCTTCCAAGAATGTAAATCATGAAAAAAAAATCTTTGGAACAAAAGAACCCTTATTTAGAATTATGCATTTGGCAGAAATTCTCATCCAGAGCATCTTACAATTTACTCATGTTACAGAGATTTGGTGAAGGTAACATTAGGAGTCTTGCCCAAGGATTCTTATTGATGTAACATGATACACTTGCCCAGGTGGGCAACCAATCCCCAGTTGCCTGCATGGAGAGCAGTGGCATTACCCATTATGCTACACCAACCTATGTCATTACGATGTCATACATTGTACAATGTCTGAAAGTATTCAGATGCCCCTTCAAATGAGCAAATACAGCTACTATAAGATGCACCTGTTGCCAACACAGGCATTCAATAGCACACACAGCTTGTTTATTAGTAGAAGAATACTGACCAACAGAATAGGATGCTTTGGAGCATTAGCCTAAAGTCAACATGTCCTATACCAAGTGTTGGCTAGAGGGGTATAAAGCTCCCTAAAATTGGACTGTAGAGCACTGGAACTATGTTTTCTGGTGTGATGGAGCGTCATCCAATACCTTTGGGATGAGCTGGATTGATGTATGTGATAAAGAACTAATCATCCAACACCAGAAGCTGACCTCACCGATGCTCGTGTGACTGAATGCACTCAAACCCTAACAGCAATATTCCATTATGCAGTGTAAAGTCTTTACAAAAGAGTAGAGGCTGCTACCGTTTGCAGGTGTCTACAGACTTTGTTTTGTGCTAAATCAGCTGTGAAAGCCTTGTTTCTGTATATTTTATCCAAGCTGTAATAACCAGGCTATGGAACAGGCATATGTCCATAACAGTATACATGTAGGCCTGCATTACAGTCTGAACAGAGATGCAATAAAACAAGCAAACAACATAACCAGAATACACTTGAAGCAATAACAAAGGAAGGTTCATGCAGAACTACAGAAAGGAAAGGACTTCATACTGAGGGTGGCTATGCAGTGAGTTTATACGGACGTTGACTGATGATCCGGGGTGGGGAGCAGGTGCGCTGGGATGATGAACAGGTGCTGGTGCTTACATACAGCCACCACAGAGGAGGAACACCCGCTCTATACAGTCCTTCCAAAATCAGTGTAACACACACAGCTGACCAAATATAGCACATTAAAAACAGTTTAATGAAGACATGAAGAAACGGGATTCTAGGATTTTAACCTAAGAAGGT